TGTCCCATTTTTTTTTATTGCAAACCAAAATTGCCCGACTGTTGATCGAATATTGCCCGACTGCCCAAAAAACTGGGGGGGCTACCGCCCCCCCGCCCGGTACGCCTATGTATCTAATGTAATCCTATACTATAATATTTTTGAAATAAGAAGTAGAGAATAGGAGTCTTGCATTGAACGGTCTGTTCATGTTTGCATGCATGAGGAGTCTTTCACTACATCAATTTAAAAAACGTCTTATTTCACACTCCCACAGGATTTAATTTCTCCAAACAAACCAAAACAAACTCTTTGAGTGAAGCGAGAAACTTTACATGTTCCGATGACAAACGGTAACGTTTCGATGACAAACATGTTACAAACTCATTGCGAAACAAATCTTCCCACGTGTATGATACCACAATCTATAAGACCACAGTTTAAGACTAAAGGTCAAACTTGACATCGTATCCGAGTAACCAAGGGCGTATTTCCTTAGAGATGTACACTATTGTAATAACATTCATTTTGCGTTGGCTGACTCGCTATATATACACGGAAACGTGTTCAACAGTGACGAGAAATTTAGCTGAGAAAAACTAAACTTTGTTAGGGCTATACAATGCGATTCGTCATACGATATTTATAGATTAAACTTAATTTTTGTATATAGACCACATGCGAAAATGTAAATATCAAAATAATAAAATAGTAATAATAATATAATTCTATCAGTTTTGAAACCTTCTTAGAGGTCCAGGCATCTCTTATTGCGTATATTGGCCCATGCATGCAGTTATAGCAGGAACTAGACTAACATTGATTCTATCATGCTGGATATAGGCTTACGCTTCTAAACTGGTTCTTCCTAGAAATCCGATAACGACCATCCCATTCCAATGTGACAAGTCTGGATAAAACATATTGTGCAATTGATAGGGTCAAAGTCATAGACATAGACTGTTTAAATTATACTCAGATTCCATACAGAGATAAGAGCCACGGATCTCGCCTGCATTCCGTAATCAGTCATATTGTCTAACCGACAGTTCGATCGAGCCTATCGTTTAATTGTAATTCAAAAATCTGTTTACTTCCTATGTATATAGAAGTTTATAAGCAAACATCACGAGATTTTATTCATCCGATTCGAAACCGGCAGTTTCTTGCCACAAAATGTTTGTTTTTGCCTCGTCTTTTATCTCTTTCATTGATGTAGAACATGTTATTCAAGGCGAGACTGGAGTACTGGAATAAATCCGCAGTTTTTTTGCAGACGTACATTTACAGGAATCGAAACTTCGTCTCCGAGATGAAGGATACATGTCAGGTTTTGCGGTAATTTTGCAGATGAAAATCTCGAGTGTAAATTTTATACATTTTTAGACATAATTACATGAGCTTGCGGTTTATAGAGCTCGACACTGCATACACTCAGTCTGTAGCTCAGTCGGTTACAGCGCTACATTGGAATAGAGGGACCAGAGGGCGTATAGCACTATAGGTACATTTTTCGCAACTCATGCTACCGGTTAGGTCTAAACCTGAATGTGTATAATTTACTGATCTAAAACATTTTCAGATTTCATCTAAAAACCCTCCAACCCGGCATTGTGTCATCAACTGTCACCACCGATAATATGCTTATTGGTTAAAACGTGATCGAAGTGTCATTGTCTTCTTACTAAAGTATGATAAAGACAAGATTTTATCTGATAAAAACTTTGAACAATATATACTCTTCGTAATTCTGGCCTAACAATCATACATCGCTGATTTTGTTTGCAAAAATCGCTAGATCGCTTGGGAATTTATCTTCTAACGTTTTTGTGTGGTTAGTGTTGGTAACTACAAGTTTAATTTATCTGAAGCTGGATATTGGTATTTGTAGTCGATGAAGGAGCATTTGCGAGAACAATCCTTTTGATAACCTTGATACTTGAAAGATCGATTATCATAACAAAATACTGTGATCCCCACTGAGCTAGCTGGTCTCCCGTTGAACACAGTGTGTTAATATATTGGACTTGAATAACTTAGTTCTTGCACTTCACTTGGTGGAATTAATCAGCATCAGTAATATTGCTACTGATCAGCATCAGTAATATTGCCTCGGTTAATTTATTAATTGCTCAATGTCTACATTACTTAATATATGTTTGCACCAACACTTCTCACTAGAAGTAGAACACTAACATACATAGTGGATGGCACGCACAGAAGAAACTGCCAGACGTAGTGTTGATTGGAGTGTTGATTAATTTAAAAGAAGCGAGAGAGTAGCAGAGGTATTATTCATATTTCTGTTAAAGCCCTCAGTTCACCACTTGGGCAAAATAGCAAGTACTCTGGTTACTTGAGGGCAAATTGATTGGATTTGGACTCAATTTCCGCCGCTATAGATTTCCTCGCACCTAATCACGATGTGTGATTATCTGACGGAGATTTTCAGTTGGTTTATGTCTTTCACCTTTGCGACAAAGATTTGATGCCTTCCTTAATTTATACATGCAATTGTCTGATTATAATTTCGTCTCAGGCGTTTGCGAGAAAAATGCTTCCATGCCGTTTGACTCTGACCAAACGCCGTACGATCTCACCAAGAGCTTTGGTTTCATGCTGTATATAGAAACACTGGACCGTTGAAGGATGGTCGTTATGATGAACCTCTTGGAAGAACAGTTTAGAATTGATAAAACTAAAAGTTAGTTTGAATTAGACTTCCTACTGTAATAACATCGTATCGATAAAGGAAGCCCCTTGTAGAAACTTGAGTAGAACTTTCCAGTACAATATAGTTAGTCCATGACGGACGTATTTATGATGAGCTTACCTTAAATGCCCACTCGTCTGCTGCATGTGCTTCTTCGATATAAATAATGGCGAAATCTGCAACGTTTGAAAACCTTTGAGAAATTTCCGAAAACTTTTGCAAATCCACCTGAAATGGGGGTCAGCTGGAACTTCCAAAGTTCAACACCAAAGGTCTTCCATGTTGTACCAAGTCACTGACGTTCACCCTTAGAGAATATAAGATAAACGTTTGTTACAAAGGATATATACATCTCTATTAACCTATGTAAAGCAGGCTTTTGCTTCAGGATGTATAGTACGCCTGAACCAGGTCATAAGTTCAACGGCCGTAATTGGCTTGATATCAGCCCGGTTCGCAAACTGACTATGCAGCTTCGAATTCGCTTGTTAGTTTTTATAAATGTGTGGTTAGAGTTCAAAGTGTAGTGTGTCATCCTTGAAATGTTTACTTTAGTACGTATGTTTACATGCATTAGTAATTTACGAGAATGTTCTATATGCTTTGTTTGGATTGAAAGTTGTGCTGACAAGGTGCGATCCACGTACAGTACATAACTAAGAGTTGGCGGCAGTCACGCGATCTTGGTTAGCTGGTGTGGACGCTTTGCCAACACCATCATGTCATGAATTTATTTAAGTTAAAACATAGTTGGAACACTCATCAACCATTTATTTTGTTAACCTAGAGCTTAAATATCCATCGCAACAATTCGTGATTGCCAACATTGATCAATTCTCGTTTCACCGGGACTTTAGGCATAGCGGACTCAATTGCAACCTCGCAAGCCAGGGTCGAGTTCTCTGTTGACTATACGGCGAAAGTACCCTGGCTTGCGAGGTTGACTCAATTGGTCAGTATACTGATTCACCAAATATATGCAGGTTCAATTCGCCTTATTGTGTTGCCGTTGGGTTTTCTCACGCTTGCGGCTTTCACAAAACTTCCGAACAACTATTTTATTGCATTTTCTCTAGGAAATCATTACCGGCCTGCAAAGTTTCATAAATAACATATACTCATTGCAAAAAATACTTTATTCTGTAATTACATCAGAAAATGTAACTGGCAGTGCGCGCGGCAGGTTTAGTTCTAAAGGTACTATCCACTGAATCTCTCGCATTTAAAGTTGTATGGTAGATTAGCCTGAAAAACGATAGGTTCAAAATCAAACTTATGTTTACACTACAGCGCTGGGTAAATTAATCACTTGGATAAAAGCGCGCTCATGGATTCATGACTGAATCAGTTTCAGTGCAGTCTCCCCCAACAGAACTCAATAGGTAAATGGGTATAGCATTATACCCCGGTTCGCTAAATATACAGAGTTGAGTCTACCTTGTACCCTCTTGGATTCTTACCATTGATTATAATATAGTATAATATAATTTACCTTTGAAGATTTGCTGTGTCTACGAGCTGCGCGTCTGGAAAGGACTCTCCTTCTTTAAGTTTGGCTTTGATGTTAAGATGGCACATTCTCCACAACGCTTTCATCATTTCGAATCCAGCAAATGAGCTGAGATACATCTCTAAAGGCAACTCTACTCCAGATGCTAACTTAAACAGCTTCGGTATAAAATACTGCTTGTAAGGTAGGAGTTTAAGAATGTTTCCAGTAATGAAGAGAGTCAGGAGCGCCAAAAGGCTGGCCCCTTGTAAAATCGCCTCGGTACAGACGCTTACTAGCGCCATCTCTGCAGCAAAATCGCTCTACCATGCAGAGGTATTGCTTTCGACTGAAGCACTATCGCGGATGCACTGGCCTTTTATGTACGACGTACGCGTGGGCACAGACGTACAGCACTGTAGATTCCCCAACTGGACTCTACTGTCATGGATCGGAACCCCGTGGAACCTGACTGTGATATATGGCATTGTTTATTTATCACTTCATCTAAATGTGCATTGATTATTTTGTAAAATTCTGAATCTTTAAAGCAACAAAGGTTATAAAGTGTACTAGAAACATTTCGTTTACATTATATTACACCATGTAATAAATACTTGGAGTATAGTAAATTTCGATGTTGTACACTTGTACTCTACCACATTACCGCACATTACAGCTATTCTGGTTGTTTTGTGGTGAATGAACGAATGAAAGAATGAAAGACTTTATTTGAACGAGGGTAAACAGTAAAACTGATGAACTTGTGGCTTTGATGAATTTGAATGATGTCTAGGATGTTGATGGCGCACAATGTAATGCAAGTAGTTTTCACTTCTGGTTTTGATTCCTGCAATATATACATATATATATATACATATATGGTATTTGATTCCTGCAATATATGGATTATAATTTTGCCTCAGCTGCATTTGAGAAGAATGTTTATGAAGAATCTCCTTACTACACTTCCAGGGAAACAGTTTAGAACTGATAGAGGCATAAAAAAAGTCTGTATACAAGTTCCAATGAATCCAGATTATTATTCGTGCCACGTTGGTTTGCGTGAGGTTACGGAAGGTTAGTTTATGCACTTGAAACACTTCAAAATATAATAGATATATGATTGTTGCCCATCATCGCCTTGACGAGGTCGCAAGTGATTCTAAATATTGATACTGTGTATACGTGTCGAAATCATGGTATGTGCCGTGATTTCCACCAGGGGCACGTCGCCATTGTCTTCAGGGAAGAAGTCGTGACCTCAAAATCTGAAATCAATGCTTCTTTATTAATTTGAAAGAAAGAAACATTGCTTTGTCAAATTCTTGATGTACTTCACACAATCTCGCATATATAAATTAAAAACTTTCAGCCAAAACTATGCGATGTTACACAGGGATCGATATTGGGCCCTTTTTTGTTTTTAATGTTAAGAAATTGACATAAAAACGACAAAATGTAAAACTATTATATTCCTTTCTAAGTAATGAATCGCGGATGATATAAAATTGTCGGCGTCGCTATTTGGGCCGTTTTTTTGCTTTTTATGATAAGAACGATAAACGTTGTACTATAAACAGTTCCGGGTGATACCTATAAACCTCTTTATTCATAACTAACATAAGTGTTTAAAAAAAACACAATCATGCCTTTTTTGCTATTTGGATAAAGAAATGATATTATATGACGACAAACTTCTGTATCATTTATTCTGTGCCAAATACTGACGCACACTGCACGCAATTGATGGTATTTAACGTATTTGAGACATTTAATAAACAAAGTTGATTTAAAACCAACAATTATGATACAAAGGCGCACACTTTGACTTGATGGCATAATTGCGAAAAAACAATCCAATGTAAAAATAATCTCGGGCACAATTTATTCTAGACTGATGTCTTGATATTTGGCGCCATACAATTAGTATGCGATCTCAAGTTTTTGTACGCCGGTCAGACGTTTATGGAATTATGCTTTATATTAAAGACTTCGAAGTGTTGAATTTATGCTTCGTCAGTATAGTATTAAAGCCTTAAGTAATAACTGGGTTCATGAATTAACCACTACCTTTAACACTAGATGCTGATGAACTGACAAGCTATCAAGACAAAAACAATTTGCTGTTGTTTGTACAAAGTTTCTGAGCTAGGTTAAGATCCAGTAGCCAACTCCTCTCTGAAGCAAACTATTATGCAATTTCTCCATCGCGTGATGTTTCATGCATATCTCACATTTCATTAAGGAGTTTTCGAATCCGGAGTCACGCAATAAATTGCGAAAGAATGAAATATAAAAGATAAAAAAGAGCTTTGTGCTGCAAAAAAATAAAGTTCAGGAAATGGTCTCAAGATGCTTGCAATGACAAAGTGAATGACAAGTTAAAGTTAAGGGGTTGTTTCATATGTGTTTTCGCGACATTGGTTGGTTAGATATCCGCCTTCGATAAGGCAAAATTGAAGACAAAGGCAAAGCTTTCGATCCGTAAGCCCGGAACTTCATCATCAATGCAAATAATCATTATCTATAACATGGTAATAATCATTTGATGAAGACCCGGGTTTACGGATGGAAAGCTTTGTCAATAAATGAAAGTGGTGTTGCAAACAAAAACCCAACTAAATGAGCCTCAGTAGCACAATCGTCATGCAGTGCAAGTGCCTTTCACCCAGTGCTTCCATTTTCAAAAAACATAATTTCCTTCCAGCCGTTCAAAATTTCCTTAATTTTGAAAAAATTTCCTTGCAATAAAAATTATTGAATTTTACCTAATTTAAAACTGATTTTATAGTAATTTATCTCGAATAACCGGGTATTTCTTGTTCTAGAAGGAACATAGACGTTCCAGGAGCTGAATTATGAAAGGGGAGAGACAAAGAGTTTACCAAGATTAATACGAAAGAGAATAAGCATGGGGGTCTGGGGGTTCTCCCCCAGAAAATTTTCAGATTTTGCATCTCACAGACAGGAATTTTAGCATATTTTGAAGCGCATTTCCTTGGAAATTGCCGTATTCTTGGGGTTTTTTAGAAATAAGGCAATGTCCTTCACATTTCCTTCAATCTTCCGAAATTTCCTTCAGATTTGAATTTCCTAATAATTTCCTTCAACCAGTTCAAATTTCTTTCAAAAAGGAAATTTCCTTCAAAATGGAAGCACTGCTTTCACCTCTGAGATCGCGTGTTTGATTCTTGTTGCCCACTCGTGCTACTTATGAGTCAGTCAACGCTCTGCCAAAAGTCGTGGGTTTTCTCCCGGTGCTCCGATTTTCTCCGAACAGGGAAGTTGACAGAATGGGTTGGGATAAGCCCCCGAATTGACCCTTCAACCGCAGCCGTGATCGTGCACACATGAGTCATAAGGTGGCTGCCAGTAGTGCCCTTGGAAAACATTCAACCTGACCAGGTTGATCTGGATCCTTCGTGATTTGGCTTAGCTAGCACACCCCCGTGATTAAACTAAAATACTGGCAAAGCAAATATCGCCGGATCATCTATTGTGAAACAAAAATGTACCATTTTACATTTACCAAAATAAGCCCGACACGTTTATTTAAGATTCGCAGTCATCATCTGGTCTAGAATACATGCACTGTAGTAGTAGTTGCAACAATCTTGTACACTTTGAGAAAGTTGAAGTTTTTCTCTCACTGAATTGTTGTATATTGGTGAACTGAAACTGAGTTTGATTTCATAGTATTTTCACAATATATTTAGTCATTGCTGAGGCAGTCGTGAAAGGGTAGCTTGGATTTGCCTATTTTTCACTGGGAAAATAAGTTTGGGGGAATATGGGATTCGCATGATTTTCGTTGTTGGAAATGAGATTGACCAAATCGGGCCATCAGGCTTTAGACAGAATTTTGGCTTGAAATATATTGGATTATAGGCCTACATACCATTTATACAAAATTCTTACGCCCCTTCCATATAAGTCCGCTTTGGTATTTTGCACTTTTAAACCCTACTCCCCCATGCAATTACTCAATGTTGGGTAAACAATGACCAAAACGTAAGCCAAACTGAATTGCGGTTGCCTTAGAGTATTCACTAATAAAACACAAAACAATGGATACTCCGAAAATTGTAAACATTTTCATCGTTTCGACTATAATCGTTTCGTTTTTCTTCTAAAGATGACTTAAATTATAATCGAAACGTAAAGAATGAAAATGTTTACAATTTGTTTTGTGTTTTCATTAAACTATTACCCGAAAATTCGATTGACAAGCTTTGACCAATAAGTTTAACTTGTCCTGAATGGACATTTAAGCTGCTCTTACAGGCGAGCAAGTTTTCTATGGCAAGTTTTTCATATACATGAGCTATTTCAATTAAGGTTGTCCACGAGCAAAGCGGAAAAGTCGAATACGAGCGCGATTTATTTGCTCGTCTGTATAGGCAACTGTTCCAATTTTACCGCATGACAATGCACTTATTCAAAAGCTGGTATCGTCTAGTTTTTGGACAAGTGCACTTGTCTTGGAAAAAATTGGCAAAGTACACATTTTATTTGTCTGTCTGGGTCAACAAAGAAAAGTTCGCTAAGTAATTTCAACACTTGCATGCCAAAAACGTATCATAGAAACTTAGTACACACGTGCCATTGACAAAGAAAACTTGCCATATGAAAAGCTAATTTCTTCAAGTAAGTAAATCATCCCGGCTTACTTGCCGTTGGGCGCTAAGCTGAATTACGAAAGACGCAGCTCAACCTGATTGAGTCGAAGGTTTTCCAAGGGCATCTCTGCATGCCAGCCATCTTATGACTCATGTCTGATAACGAGGCACAGCTATGTTGGAAAGGTCAGTTTGGGGGCTTATCCCAACCCACCCTAGCTGTCAATGTTCCTTGTGGGAGGTAGCGAAAACCCACGACTTTCGGTAGCCGAGCGTCCCGACTGTATCTTTGTATACACGAGTCAGTCCCGTTCGTGTGATGGTGTCAACCGTTTTGTTCAAGCTAGATTGTATCTCATTTGACTATCTGTGATACTTGACCTGAATGTTTTACTAGTTCATTCAATCGCGTGACATTGCCATATTGACTGGTGGAGTGTTCTCGCATTCCGGATCACGCAAGGTAACAGAGATCACGGCATCTCGATATTGAATCCGTACCTTAATCTTTATATTATATTACATTTGCTTACAAAATGTTTACGTAACAGCTACAACAGTTATGAAATGGAAGATTGCAGTAACTAAACAATATGCCCATATGTTAGTTTTCACCCAGTTCGCATTAGTTTCTGACAACTTACATGCCTCGTTACCACTGTTCTGGTAAACATGTAATGGAACATTCATGCAATACTGTATGTGTGATTTATTAGGGTGAATTTCTTGTGAAGTACTCAGCCGTGCTACATTTTTGGTAGCCCGTATTGATTCAAGATTCACAACTCAATTTTTCAAGTGCTTTTGCCGCAGAAAGCTTGCGCTTAGGGCAGCAATATTTCTCGTCTCCTTGTGATATGTTCACATTTGCGTCATACACTTAACAGATCACGACACTTTTGGTATATGTGTGAATTAAACAGGTCATATATGAAGATCCACCGGGGCTTATACGGATCAAAAGCTCTGCAGAAATTTAATTTAAAATATATTAACAAGTCAAAAGGGCTTTTCGGATATTAATTAGGTGTGCTAAAGTTAATAGTTAACAACTATAAGGGTCCTTACAAAATTATTCAAAAAGTATGTCCTAAGAACCGTTTTAAATTGTTTTCAGACTTAATGGGGTCAGGCAAGTCATTCCACAGCTTGACTGCTGTAAACCAAAAAGAGCGTTGACCAGTTGCTTTTCGATTAGAAATGGTACATTCAACACTGAATCCTTTCTTGTACCGCATTTATTTATTTGCGATCGTTTAATGAAGCTTTTCGCTTAAGCCGGTTTTCATTTGGCGGAATTTTGCGCGCGGAGCGGAATTTTGCTTTGTCTTGTGATTTCTAGGGTGGAACTAAAACCGGTTTTCCATTAGGCGGAACTTTGCGCGCGAACGGAAACTCGTGAATTCTCTGGTGGAACTAATTAGAAAAGACAAAGAAAAATTCCGCTCCGCGCGCAAAATTCCGCCTAGTGGAAAACCGGCTTTATAAAGAACTGAAGAGCGTAACCAAATCAGGCCCGTAGCTGGGGGGGGCAGTGCCCCCCCCCCCACTCGGTGGGACAGTGCCCCCCAGTGCCCCCCCACTCGGAAAATCCCGCCATCTTGGATTTATCATGTAGGCCCCGCCTGCGCTAGGTATGCGTTAGCAATCTAGATCTCCTATATCTATGTTTGCTCGTATAGTAAATTCAAAGGTGGAGCTCATGCTGGTCAAAATGGCTCTGGGGACGAGAATGTCTGACACTGGGCTTACGATGGATCAAAATTGAAAGCTTAAACAAGCGACATTTTGCCGAGGTGGGATTGGATTTAAAACTCTGTTTGTGGTAATTTTCAACACCTATCACAATAAAACTTTTTTTTAAAAGATTTTTAAAGTTTTTTGCTTCCTTACACGAGCGCTATCAGTGCTATCGGAGGCAAAATGCCACCAAAATTAGTTATACCAAGTTCAGGTAATGTCCGTGTTGACAAAAAGGTTCCTTGCTTAATTCAAGCTCACTACAAGGAGTGGTGTTTCAATAAAAACAAATCAATTATATTTATATCATAATATTTGCTGTGTTGGTGTAATGTACTCAGGTGAATAAGATGCCTGCGATGCCACTCTGAGTGTATATCCACACCGGGCAGGCTTGAAAAATATGCCTGGCCACGGTGGGAATCGAACTTACGACCTTTGGAATACTAGTTGGCAGAGCATTGGGCTAGTATTCCAAAGGTCGTAGGTTCGCCGTCCAACCGTGGCCAGGCATATTTTTCAAGCCTGCCCGGTGTGGATATACACTCAGAGTGGCATCGCAGGCATCTTATATTTATATCGTCGTGCGAACATACAAGGCTGGTGTAAAAATAGTTGAGTGGATAACATATTATGTTCTATTATGTTTTAAATCTGTCGCCCATTTCAAGTGTCAGAAATAAATCCCTCGGTTTATTAATGAGGCTGAAGTTTTTCTGAATGAGGTGATAATAGGACGTAAACTAAAGTAATAGTTATTTTAATAGTCTTGAGTATTTTTACTCACGTTTGGGCAGGGGGCGGTTCATGGGTCTTCGAGTCCCGTTTGCACCTTGCTCATTTAGGGTCATTATTTTATTAGCTTAGGTTTATTAGTATGTAAGTTTATTGACCCTAATAAAGACAATTGAAATGAAATAATAGACCTTTCTTATAGTGACGCGGAAAAACTCTTACCAATGCGATGCCCCAACTGACAATGGACTTTTATGCGAACTTTTACGTGCGTGTACGCACGTATGAAAAACGCGTAACTGGAATGCAGCCTTTACGCACGGGAAAATGCACCACCACCTTCTGTCCAAATGTGGTGCATTTTCCCGCGCGTAATACAAATTAATACAAAATTTGCAAACTTCACAGGGCTATATTTTCCGCATTTTACAACATTTCGCAACCAAACTTTGCAGTTTTACTAATTTTAACATGCTCTTTCTAGTTGTGCTGATGGATTTAGTTTTTCTTGCCTAGATCAAAATTTAAGTCTATAGAGTCTAGTCTTGCCCTGTGCCTGTTTATTGACTTGCCCTCGCATAAATTGGTTTTTCGCGTTTGACTTCATTATAAGAAAGGTGAAAGGTCCATTGCGTGGTTCGATTGCATACTGCCCCAGGCACTGAAACGTTTGCACCACATTTGAGGTTTTAATTGTCGCGTGACTCGTATCAAGGCCTGCGTCATATATAAATAAAACTTTTGCATCATATGTTAATTAGCGCATCGTATGTAAATAAACTTGTTGCATCCTATGTTAATTTACTAGCGCGTCATATGTAAATAAAGTTTTGTGGGACTCGGGTCATTACTTATGGTTGTGTGTCTTAAAAATTTATCTTAACTGTGAGGGTTTGTTGTGGGTTATATTCTACAATTACATTAAAATGCCATGGTTTGTATCTATCTGAACCAAAATGTAGCTCTGAAAAGTCAGAATTTACAGATGATTATTAATAAACCACTGTAATATTTATTGTTTTCCAACATACAAAACATCATGTCCAGATCTCGCACTGAGCTGCGTTTATATCTGGACAATCATACAATATGGTTTGGATACAAAATATATCAACATAATGGTTACCAAAGCTACTCTACTACCAACTACTACAAACTATACCTAATGTTCTTCTCCAATCATCTTCTATCAACTATTGTCCATTCATTGAAGGGATATTTAATATTATTTACAAGTTTGGTTGTTTTCTATAAACAGTTGTTATGTATGTATGTATACTATATCTAACTTTTATATAATCCAGACCCCTTCCCCTGTGCGATCAGAAGAGGGTCTGGCCATTTATACATGTTGTCCCAATAAGATTCCTCCATCAGATTTTGAGTAAAATAACCAACATTTTCATTTTAGAGTTATTCAATGTAGCAACACCAATATTCTAACGTATCCGAATATAGAAAATCGCTAAGAATTAAAATTAATTCATTATTTTTGTGCCTGAGTCGTAAACTACAAATTCTCAGCCATGGCTGTGAGCCTCATTTTACTAATTTTTACATCAAACGAAATCTTAATGTTTAACTAAGGCCTACAAACCATCCATTTTAAACTGGATAGGTAGGCATTCTCCTAAAAAAATGGTGTCGCTACCTTAGTGATTCTAGGAAACAAATGGTTGGTTATTTTGATCGGTTAAAAATGGTATGATAGTTATTTTATCTTAGTAATACCACAAAATATAATGGGAGGACATTTCTAATTGGGACATCCGGTATATTTGCAGGCTTTACGGAACAGCAGCCGGTTATCAGTCGACAACTGCTGCACAATATAGTGAAACCCATCGATAAAATATTGTCTTTATTCTGTGCCTCAGTCAATGGTTCGTATTGTCCTTTTCCATCTCTCTCGTTATCTGGTCCAAGTTCTGCGCCTGGCATTATTCCTGTACTCAGCGAGCCATCGTCTTAACTCGTCCAGGTTATAACCTTCTGGTCCCATTTCTCCAACGTACGCGATCTTATCTTCATCTATGACGTACAATCTCTCCGGTAGCGCGGCGTAGGCCGTTTTCATAGTGTTCGCCATCGTGTCTACATAAACGGGACAGGGAGGGTTCCTGGCCAAAACATGCTTTGCTGCATCAAGTCGCTCGTGCAGACTTTGATGTTGACGAATTTCGTAATTGTTCTGAAAATAAAATAAACCAATTTGAATACCAGTAACATTTTAAAAATTGAGGGTAAAGCAATGTACCTGTTCAATATTAGGTCTGTGTTATATAGTATCTGGATTGGATAAACAACATTGAATGGGAAGGGCGCGGGACATAAAAAATGTTTGTAATAAATGGCATATATCCACTGATGATCTAAAACCGCATTATTGTAGAAAAAACAAAATTATTGTAGCGCTAATCTTGCGGAATTCTGTTTTCAGATAGTTGCTTCAAATTGGTGTAAAACAATAGAAACTTTGTCCGAAATATCTTCAATATGAACATTAAACAACATTTCAGAATCTCAAATTTCGGAATCACAGTCTCCTCAATCTTTTTTCCAAAGCAAACTTTTTCGGGATACCGAAATCCCAGTTCTTTAGTTAAGGCTGGCGGCTATTGCTGTTTTGAGTTGGAACTCTCAAGAATGTCCAGTCCAGGAAATGTTAAAATAGTTGCTAAGATAAACAAAATTAAACTAAAACGACATTTTTTTTCACCACATACTTTCCCAAACATAATTGATATTTCAATATCTTGTTTAGAATTTCCTGATCAAATCATTCCGCACTGCATGTATGCAGTTTAATTTCCCTTTGGCATTTCCGCGTTGCAAGAGGATAAAATTTTAAATTAAACAATTAAGCATTTTACAAGTGGATAGAGCGTGGATAAAGCTTTAAGTTAATTTATATCCTGAAATTGAAGCTTCTTTTTAAAACGAAGATGAGTGTTGATGAGAGTTGGCAAGCGAGAATTTACATGAGAGTTTTCTCAACTCTCATATCAAACTCTCAACTCTCATATCTCGGTCAAACGAGGACAAGAGTTGCATGAGAGTTCATGAGAGTCATGACTATCAGCACGCGCTTAGCGAAAACCCTCAAGAGAGTTGATGAAAGTACATCAGAATCGATAACAGTCTGCAATCAAACTTATCCTATGTTTGTATTTAAATTTCGACTCACCTTAAAAGCCCATCCATCTTTCGCATGCGCTTCGGAAATGTAGATGATTGCAAAATCGGCCACGTCATTGAAATCACGTACGATCTCATTAAACTTGGCCAATTTCGCCATAAACGGAGGTCAGCTTGAGCTGCCGAAGTTCAAAACTAATGGTCTGCCAATTCGCGCTACATCCAAAAGGCGCACGCACTGTCGTCCGTCCGCTGTGATCAGAGCCGAGTCTACGACGTCCGTTCCCTCGCTAACTTGCTTCCGTAAGTCCAGAACTTTCATTTTCCAACATTCCTTAAACATTTGCCAACCGAAAAGGGAATCCCAGTAATTCTCTTTGACCATTTTCAGCTGAGCTTTCTGCGTGATTTTTTGTTCCACTACCACATGAAATAGCGGCACAGCATGCAGAAGGCGACATATCATGAACTCTATAGCCAATCCCAGCGTAGCCAGAACGCACCTCAGCGAAATGAGAGCGTTATAATTTTGCAGAGTTTCGACAGACTGCATGGCTCTATTAACTTGGCAAATGTTCTCACCAAGCCAGCCATGAACCTTTCACCGTTTATGATGGAAGATATGGGATTACAACGGGTTTATATAGAGTTTCCTTTGACCTTGTGGGATGGGGCAAAATGTGGAGTTGTGGCTGGATTTTTGAACTGGAATTGTGGACAAAGGTTCCGGACTGGAATCGTAAGTTTGTGACTTGTGGAAGGTTTTTAAAATGTACCCACCCTTTCAAATTCCTTGTGGTAGGAAACAGGAGTACACAGAGAAAATCCACGAGTTTCGGTTGTGAATCTAGTTCCTTCACACAGAGAATGTCGACAAGGTGGATTAGGAAAGGTAGTGACGGATTCACGACCGAAACTCGCCGATTTTCTTCGGATAGTCCAGTTTCCGTCTACATTGAAAGTTGACAGGGTGAGTTAACATTACCCAGAGTATGACCATCAAGTGATTATTTAGAGTATTTACAGAATCAATGAAACTGTGAAACGAAGTTTCATTTAAGAGTCCAGTTTCCTGGTTATGAGTCCATATATGAGTCATCCATGAGTCCTGTCAATTTTTGTAGCATTCCCAAGGTTGTGTGCGCAATAATGTGATATTCTGTTAATGATATGGCTCTTAATACAGGACAATAGGCACTCCACAACATCAAATACAGACATGAAAACCAAATCTCCGGTTTCCGGAGGAATTCTGTACCTTACGAAACTGTAATAGCCTAGCAGTTAAAAGCAAACAGATTTGAAGCTATTTCGAGTAACTTTGAAGTGGTTTGGAGTGGCCTTTTTTAAAATTTTGATCGAAATTTGATTTCGTGTCTCGAGTCGGTTCGGTGCAAAGTGAACGTCATTTGCGGGGTGTTTTTCGCGGTAAATGGCACCCTTGGGACATGAAACATCCCATTTCGGTGTAAATACCTTGATTTGGCAAACTGACTTGCATGCATAGCATAGTTTGGGAATAATCTACTTTAAATGTTCAACACGAAAGTGGGATAAATTTTCACCATTTTATGCTGCATCATGTTAAGACGCGGAAATGGCTTGAAAGGCTCATTTACACTATCAAAGTTTCCGTACTCACAGTAGGAATTTTGCATGGGTAAATTCTAAGTTTTGAAAGATTTGTAAGAAATTTTTGAGGGACTCATTGTTTAACACCAGAGGGTTTAACACTGAGACTCTCTGAGTCAGTCCCTCAAACATTTCTTACAAATCCTTGAAAACTTAGAGACAGCCTTTAAGAAAGAAACTTAGACTAATGTTTAACAACATTGGATAGTGTATCAGGTCAAACTGTTCTTCCTAACGGTCCAGTAAGGATCATCCATAGATATCTTATATACACTAGATAGTGCATCTAATTATTCTGCAATTCAAAAATTGAAGCCGTGATTGCAGACTCAGGATATTCCCATGAAACGAGAAGATTCGTATGTTTTCTATTTCTTAAACAGGGAACTTAAATATTAAGGTAAAGCTATTCCAAATACATTTTCAAACTATTCAAATGATGAAAGTTATTGTTGTTTTTTAAGCGTTTATTAGCGAGTGGGAAACATCAACATGGCCGCCATCTATTCAAATGGGGGTAACCGCTGGAATATTCTTGGCTTCAATTTTACTAAAAGAGATGCGCTATCTAGTGTATATAAGATATCTATGGGATCATCTCACATGGGACATTGGAGAGTTTGAGCAAGACAACGAAGTACGAAGACGAAGGCATACTTGACAATTTTTGCCGCCTGCACATTATCTTGCGCATAGTGAGTTGGACGTCACTGGTAGTTGCTCAACGTGTCTTCCCATGTGTCGCTGTTTATGAATACTGACCACAATTCTTGCCCTGATCCAGAAGGGAACAACGAGACATGAAACTATATCCCGTCTTTGTCCTTCTGCCTTCGTGCAGAACGAAGTTCACAACGAATTTTGCCAAAATATTCGTTGTGAACGAAGGCAGAAGAACGAAGACGAGATATGGATTCATGTCTCGCTGTTTTATCCTGATCAGGGTAAGGATTTGAGTCAACATTCACAAACAGCTAGACATGAATCTCTAATCTGTCTTCACTCCTGACCCTAAACTCAGAATGCGCAAGAAAATGTGCAAGACAGGCAAAAATTGTCAACCACGTCGTCGTCGTCCGACTTCGTTCTCTTGCTCAAACTCTCTATTATCACAGCAGGGAACCAGAGTACCTGGCGAAACCTAGTAAGATGTTTTAGAGTCAAACTCAGGAAGCACTTTTCTCATGTGCATCTGAATATTACAAGAGCTATAAACGCTGATCACATAGGGGCATATATAAAAGTGATGGTTTTTGGATTAGTGAATGGTTGTCCAGAATCAACCAGAAAATACTTGTTTGTTCATTCGCGATAACCATGTTTACTGGTAGGCATGCAATGAACTCCTAAATTGTTGTCACGATTGGACATTCAATCCAAAACACCTTAAATTTCTATTAAAAAAGGATTAACTATTCTTCTAGACATTTCCGTTATATTTTAATAAACAAGTTGTTTTTTTCCTAAATGCATCCAAAGTTCAGCAATAATTACCCCTGGCATTATATTCCGGTTGTTTTGTCGATTCTTACAATGTATACTAAATGATAACTGAATTTCCGATGGTGGTGAAATTAGGAAAAGATGCCTTGTTGTAAAATGTAATAAAGCGAATGACATTTCCTCTTTATATTGTTTGATCATGTTGACCACAATTCAATAGATTGACGTGTAATTCCGTTGTATTACAATATTTCCTAATTTTACTGATAACATTATTCCAACGGCGGGAAAATGTATCCTTTCCACAGAGTTAAAAAAACTAATCAAATTTTTGTGCTGCATTGATTCTTCACATGATGCGAGTCGTGACCATTCAATAGGAACACTTCGTCATTCATCATGCTCAAATTCAATAGTGGGTACTAATAGGTCCCAAGGGATTTCTATAACCATGGCAACGTTGTCCACTTTTGGGATGATAATAATGCATAGACGAGTTATTAATGATAAGGTGGGACAATGCCGGGTTTGCAAGACAGTGACCACAGCAGTTTTGATTTGTGGAACACTTTCTTTATTTTAGTTGGCAAAAATTTCGATCCGTAAGCCTGTAATCGTATCTTCATCAGTGCTAATCTGATATCCATTTTTTTACTGCTTTGCTAAATATTTATACGTGCCAACGTGGTGTTTTCAACGAGATAAACAATGCCGAGTATTTGTGGTGAGCTATAAGACATTTTGGTATGTTGATGAGTTTTAAAAAACAATTGTAAATCGTGTCAGATATGTGGCGTATGTCGTTAAGATGTTTACGACATTCAATATAGCGAAAACATGTCATGTTCCGTTCTCTTTGCGGTCTGAGATAGAGCAAAGGTCAAACGTTGGAATTGCATGAATAGACTTATTGAAAAACATGCCCGCACGCTACACACGTAAATAGTTATAAAGTTGTTACAGCGTGAAACAGATTTGTTACAACTCCCACAAGCTGATATTGTATTTATTCTGACTGCAGAGAACAACGAAAAATTCGTTTTCTTAAGGGACCGGTCATTATTTATGGTGGGGGGTGGCACCGAAGAGAAATGTTTTTCGTGGCAAAAATTTTGCTGACCCAACCATTAAAAAGACAAAAAATTGATTACCCAACCTCAAATATAAATTGGAAAATAATTACCCACCCCTGGCCAAAAACTTTACAAAAGGATACCATTCAGTTGTCACACATGTCTTTTACCACTTCTATGACATGAGTTTGATAACGGCTTGTGAAATTTTCTGCAGTCTAAAGTTTTATGTTGTCTGCACATGCACTTTCTTTGGAAACACCATTTGTTTTGTCAAAATGACCAAGATCACTAGTGATTCACGTATTGTATTAACAAATGACTGTTGACATTGCTTTTCAGTGTCCAATATTTCAGTGGTTCATGCTTTGGAAATGACAATAAATTTTTATTACCCAACCCTTGAGTTGTTTTGTTTTTCATTTACCCAACCTTTTACTCACTCAAAATTTTGATTACCCAACCCTTTTCTCTTCGGTGCCACCCCCCGCCATAAATAATGACCGCTCCCTAAGCAGGATTCGAACCACTGATTCGAACACTCATCTTTCCATTTATAATGGTTAGCACTATTTCCCATCCAGCAAACCGCCCTATGATTTTCTAAAGTTGTTTATTTTTGGATTTTTTATTGATTCGGTTAGGGTTAGGGTTAGGGTTAGGGTTAGGGTTAGGGTTAGGGTTGCGGTTAGGGAGTAGAGTAGGGGTAGGGTTTGGGTTAGTTACATAGCCATTTAATAACACCTCTTCCGAAAATGACGTCAGGTCAGTTTGCTAGATGGAAAATAGTGCTAATTATTTATAGTGCCATTATTTATAAGCCATCGACTCAAGTGTCAATGGGAATTGGTAGGTGAGTCTTATCCAATTTATGTGCATGAAATTTTTTCGCGACGAAAATTGTTCAACATTGTTGAACGTTGTTGGGACGGTCATTACTTTTATGGCGGGGGGGCGAAGAAAAGGTTGGGTAAGCAAAATTTTGAGTCAGTAAAAGGTTGGGTAAATGAAAAACAAAACAACTCAAGCTGGGGTTGGGTCATAAAAATTTGATGTCATTTCCAAAGCATGACTCACTCAAATATTGAAGACTAAAGAGCAATGTCAACAGTCATATGTCAATACAATATGCGAATCAATCAGAGTCACTATCTTGATCATTTTCCGAGTTTTTCCCGAGGCAAATCACTCCAAAGAAATTACATGTGCAGACAACATGAAACTTTAACCTGCAGAAAATTGCACAAGCAGTTATCAAACTCATGTCACAGAAGTGGTAAAGGATATGTGTGACCGTGACGACTGAATGGTATCCTTTTGTAAAGTTTTTGACCAGGGGTTTTATTTTTATTGGTATTTGAAATTGGGCAAAGAAAAAATTGGTTGGACCAGCAAAGTTTTTGCCAAGAAAAACAGGGCAAAATGGATCCAAAAAGGGCTGATTTGCGAATTGTGCTAGACCTTGTAGCTTCCCATCTCTCCCAGCGCGCCTAGCATCGCGGAGGCGAAAGGCAGGAACTAGACTGAGGAACCAGCGTTCTTTAAGTTGTTCGCAATTGTTTGATTTCAATAAGTAAGATATTCAATAAGACAAGGAGTTTCTATTCTTTAGTTTTAAGACAATGGCTATAAGGAATGGACGAGTGGCAGATTTTCAAGGTAATTCAAAATTTAAACTCGGATTTCGCTTTAGTTTACGGTTAATGGTATAGGGTTTATAATAGGGTTGGGGTTAGGTTTAGGGTAAGGTTTTGTGTATGGTTTGAGATTGTTACGAGCGCCATGGTTGTTGATTCTTTTGCGTTTTAAAGATCATGAAAAATAGCCGCCATCTTGAAACCTCCCACTCGTCCATTCGCTTTAAGCCTGGGGCAGATTGTTCGAAAGGCGATTAACTTAACCCTAGGTTAACCTAAAATTCAAAGCAAACTTCCTGACAGCTTGTTCATAAATTTGGAATGTTTCTTCAGAAATCGTGTCTGAGTCGATAGGAGTGTACTTCTCTGAAGTTTTGAAATAACCGTGCAGAAATACACAAACCAAAGCAGCAAGTTAACCTTTGAACAACCGGCCCCTGGTTTCGCATTAAATCGCAAGAATCGAAATCGCAACCACTCTTGCGACACGACAATTGCGATATTTACGATTTAATGGAAAGCCAAGCATTACTATACAGTAGAGGCCTCGACTTCATCTTCACCCGTTTTGTTCAAAATGATCTCATCAACCGGATCTGGAAATTAAAATATACAAAGATACGATAAACTACAAACGTAAAAACGATTATAGACAAAATTTTGATCTAAACAAAAATTTCATCACAGCTTGAATGGGCATCACAAAATTAGTAATATTCCAAAGTTTCGTTGCGAAATGTTGTAAAATGCGGATAATATAGCCTTGCGAAGTTTGCCGTTTTTCAGTCATTTTCTATTACAAACGGGAAATTGACAGCCGCAAAGGGTATTGGGCTGTCAATTTCCCCCGCGTAATACAAAATGACTGAAAATTGCAAACTTCGCAAGGCTATATTATCCGCATTTTACAATATTTCGCAACGAAACTTTGGAATATTACTAATCTTGTGATGCTCTTTCAAGCTGTGATGAAATTTTTGTCTAGATCAAAATTTAGTCTATAATGCAAATGGTCCATTGGATGATTTGAAATGACATCTCATACGAATATATCACTATACTTGAAGCGAGGTGAATTAATTTTGATTCAGTCCAAGGACTGAATTAATTTTGATCCAGTTCTAGGACTGGATCAGTATACTTCACAGGTATCCAGTATTATCATGTGAGCAAAATCAACCAATATGGTTGGCTAATTTACTCATGAATTATTAATGAGTTTGAGATGAGATATCGCAGCCATTGTTACGAGAAACCAATACAATATAACTTTACCATTGTGGTTGTCATAAACTTCAGCAGTCGGCATTCCTCTGGTCTCGGGTAAGACCAAACACAACAAGGCAGCAATGACGGACAGACCTCCCATCAAACCAAATGCCAATGTTGGATGAATCCTCTTTAGTTCCACAACAAACGGCGCAGACACAGCGCCAATACGACTTACGACGCCGACAAATGCCATGCCGCTATTTCTATAAAAAAACAGAAACACAGATGAAATGTTAGAAATTCCAAAAAAATGGAATTGGTATGGGTAGGGAAATATTTATTTTACTTTTTATTACTTTTCAACCATTCCACACAGATTGTAAAACGTTGCCCTATATATCAGCGGTATATCGAGATAAAATCATTGATCAGCAGAGCCGCCGAGAGGGGGGGGGGGGATTGCCCCGGACCCCAACTTGAGAGCGAGAACTTGAAATTGAGTACGTTCTTTAAATTGGTCACAACATTTTTGAAATTGAGGGCTCCTTACAGTAGCTCCACATGCAGTCTAGTTAAGGTCTAGTTGGGTGACTGACTTGGGTCTAGCTTAAAAATAATAATGTCATGGGGCCCCCAGAAAAGATTTGCCCCAGGCCCCGCGAATTATCTCGGCGGCCCTGTCGATCAGACAAGATCAGACCGTTTATACAGCAGAAAAGTGATCAAAGCATAGTCTTGGTGACAGGGGCGTAGGAAGCATCAAAAGATTGGGGGGGGGGCACCGGCTTCCAGGGGCACTTTTGGATAATGAAAAGGGAACCTAAAACATTTCCCCCGTAAATGTTGGCAACTGGCAGGGAAAGATTTTCCAGTCACACCACATTTCATGCTTAATATAATACATTTTCTTAAATTTTCGAATTCCAACGTACAATGAACGTTTTTGACCATTTTTTTTTAAAACATCGAAATTTCCTCACAAAAATGCCACCTTCGATGTTAATATAGTATTTACAGCAACATTAAGGTTCATCTACACGATACGACTAGTCGTATACGATTCTTATCCTGACGTATGAAAACGATTGCTGACGCCACTATTCCTGTTCATCAGTCTTATGGTGAAGTTTGAAATATGACATCTTTACACGCATTTGTTCGAGTACATACGCCAGGATAAGATCGTATACGACTAGTCGTATCGTGTAGATGAGCCTTTAGATTGTACAAAAAGGGCACCTTTCATCACAAAAAAAGGCACTTTGAAACAATTTGGGGTGGCACGCGCCCCCTGTGCCCTCCCAGTTCCTACACAGGAGAGATTGACGAAAGGTGCATGCTATGCTAAGGGACCGTTCATTATTTATACCTGGGGTTGGTACTGAAGAGAAGTGAAAAACAGTGTAAATTTTTTATTTACCCAACCTCAACATTGGTCAAAATAATGTTTACCCAACCCTTGAACAGTGTTACTGTACTTCATAATAATTAAACACACAAGATTATGGTGACAGAAATCAAGTTGCCTATATTCTAAAACCTCACTCACACTCAAACTCACTGAGTGTGCCAAAGCAATCACGTTCCTGTCGATCAATGATAGATTCCTTCCTCGATCACTGATGGTCTATTTTGGTACAGAATGTATTGTACACATTTTTCTTCATATTTTCAGTGCATGGTAATTTTGGTTTTATTTTATTTTATAGCTGACAGACAGCCATAAAATTTTTTACCCAACCCATGAGCTAGTCAAAAACTTGATTACCCAACCCATATCTCTTCGGTACCAACCCCTGGTATAAATAAAGAACGGTCGCTAACTACAGTTTGTACACATATACAAAAAAGCGTCCTCGATTGTACGTGGTTATGAAAGTTTTTGTACGTTTAATGTAAAGAAGAAAAGGAAACTTTCATTACCTTACAACGGTAGGAAATATTTCACAAGACCACACGTAAATACTATTGAAAGATACAGTAATAAAACCTTTCCCCAACATGCCGCCAATAACACGACCGACGATGTAATCTAAAATAGTTTTAATCAAGAATTAAATAAGTTTTAAATCAAGAATTCTTAATACTACTATCATATATGCAGATATCACAGAATACCAAATACTCCAAAATAGTCTATTTCCTATGCTACATTGCTTATTTGGGTGGGTTTTTTATAGTTATTGAGTTAACGCGAGAAGAACCATTGGACATAGCGAATACTACTATTATAATTATTCAGGTCACTCCCCATTGGGGCATTTCAGTGACCGATTACATAAAGTATTATGATTACTTATACTCACTTCTTAGCTTACACGTACGCGTAAAAATTGAGAAAATCAACAACTTGTTCCAGGTTGATATCAACAGGCGTGAACAAGGTTGTGCGACCCACTATGAACAGTGTTGTCAACACGTTGTTACAGCGTTGTTCAACTGTAACAACTTGGAACAAAACAACATGGTTGACAACTTGTTCATAGTTGGCCGCACAACATTGTTCACGCCTGTTGATATCAACTTGGAACAACCTGTGCGTTTTTAGCAAGGTTGGGTAGTAGCGAAGTAGTTGTAGTTCGTTACTGTAGCGAACTACAATTTTCAAGTAGCCAGTAGTTTTTGACTACTTTTTTAAAACAGTAGCTGTAGTTATAGCGAACTACATTTTGCGTATAGTAGCGAAGTAGTTGACTACTTTTCAAACAGCGAATCGCTATTCGCTACTTTTTAAAATTGTTAGCAACTTGATAGAATAGCATGATATTGAGACACGGTTTGTTTGAAATCAATACTCAATTTTCACTCTTGAACACTGTAGTGCTTACAAAAATGTTGCTTTGTGTTTACTGTTGCCACTCGTAAGTGGATTTGTTATAGGTTGCATTTCAGCCTGAGTTAGTAGATGCTCCAAATACAGTAAAACTAAAATATATAGCGTAGCGAAATAGTTCGCTACATATTTTAGGCAGTAGCCTGTAGTCAGTAGCGAACTACCTTTGTTCAAAAGTAGCAGTAGTTGTAGCTGACTACATATTTTTGAAGTAGCTGTAGTTATAGCGAACTACAAAAATTTTGTAGTCAACCCACCCTTGGTTTTTAGCCGTGTAGACTATTTATCTTTACAACAAATCGTGATATTAGTATATTACTTTCCTAACTGTGTTTATTGTAACCCACCCTGTCGACTTTCCCTGTGGGAGGGAACCGGAGCGCCCGGAGAAAACCCACGACTTTCGGCAGAGCGTTGACTGACTCTTTTCACATGAGTCCGCAGTGACAATCGAACCCACGATCTCAGAGGCAAAAGCCGCTTTCTCTGGCGACTGCGCCACCGAAGATATTAAACGTGAGATGATATCCAAGGTTCGAGGTTGCGCTCGATCTATCCGAAAGGCACTACTGTAGAAGCGTCAATTGTTTTACCTGTTCTGTCTGTACCACCAGGAATCAGAGAAACCACAAAACAAGCAATTCCCCCCAGAATCATGTGAACAATAACTGTCTTTTTACGTCCAAACCTAATAAAACCAGATTGATAGCATAAGATGGAGTATTCTATAAAAAAATGTGGGCATCTCGTTCAATAGAACTAATATAGTAGATGGGTTTTGTGGATGGAATATTCGAACACCAATTTATATGCATTATTAAAGTTAACCAGAAACAGTTGCGAAAAATGCAGCTAAGGCAAACGCCGGTTTTTCAGCCCCAGCTACTTTACAGCTCCAATATCCGGCTGGTTTGGTTCACAACTCACGGGACAAAATCTTTAACCAGATAATCAACGATAATTCTACGACATTGCCAAATTTCTTGTCATTTTGACTTTTCGGCCGGACCTGGGACCGCAACTCCGACTCCTGTTGATCAAAAAGACGTCGGAGCTCCGGCAGAACTCCGTCGCACAACACTCGAATCGAACCTGCGGTCCTGCCAGTCCGGTGCAGCGCTCAAATAATCCATCAACAAAAACCCATCGACCATTCTATCAAAATATTCTCACAGTACATACAGTATATCCATTTAACTTCAGTCAATGACTCAATATACGTTCTACCTTTCACAGTTATCCACAACCAGAACATTTGCGGGAATTTCAATCAAACTTGTAAGCATATAATTAAGATACATGCTGCCACCAAGATCGCTTGCACCATACGATGCTCCGTAGTATACCATGCCATTGATGAACCTTAAGATAAGGGGATAACGCGAAAACGTAGTTATTGGTGGATTTCTTCTCCTGATGTATGTGAACGAGTGGATGAGTTATAAATGTTTAGATGAGGATACATATAATTAGAATAATCATAACTTATTTACTCGTTCACATCCATCAGAAGAAGAATATCGTACTAGAAATCGCAACATAAATTGCAAGTGTAAACGGTGAGAGAAAACAATTGTGCCACTACTACATATAATGAAAACATTTTTATCAAGATGTTTTAGATTCATTGGATAATTCCAGCTATAGGCTAAATTTTGATCTAGGTAAGCAGAACAAAATCCATCGCCACAGCTAGAAAGAGCATGTTAAAATTAGTGAAATTGCAAAGTTTGGTTGATGATGGATTTTGTTCTTACCATGCAAAAGCTTGAATTAGGGCACCAATTGCCAAGGTCGACGTCGAAAACAAAGACAAAAAACTGAGGTTTTTGGTTGAAGTTGCTGGTATTTTTAATGTCTCTTCTGGATACTCCTTTTTATTCATTCTAGCGATGTCTCTAAGCTCTCCTTCCGCTTTCTCAATTTTATCATGAGTCATGTACCAGCGTATAGACTCTGGCGTGAATCTAAATACAGATAGGATATCAGTTGAATTAATCATGAGTATAATCACCATCATGCATAACTACTTTCACCATCATCATCACCAACATCGCCATGGTTATCATCGACAACGATTGCTATCATTACCATAGTAATCACCATTATAATCCCGATCAGCATTACAACTATTATCATAACTATTTGTTACCAGTTATTACCATCAATCACTACCCACATTCATCATCATCATCACCACAACCACAATGATCATCACCATCATCATCATCATTACAACCACCATCATCATCATTATGACCATCACTATCACCAAAACGATCACCATATCATCGTCACCATTATCACCGCCAAAATTACCACCATCATCTTCACCTGCATTGCCACTACCACCACCCATCAAAACAAGATCCCACAGAAACCTATCCTAACCATTGTACCATCAACAATACAAAACCTATCTATACAACTCACTTCCAAAAAACCAAAACAAATATCCAAGGTGCGGTACACAATATCATCAGAGTCCTCCACGTTCTGACAAGATACGCCATTAATGCCAGAATCAGTAACACCGTTGTAAACGCAAACCACATGACTGTCTGTGAAAGCGGCCGATACTGAGGACCGACGAACTCTCCCGACAATATAAACATAGGCAAGTATACGCCGTATATCACAGCGCCCACAAAAAACCTGGACACCAGGAATTGCCAGTATTTGGTAGCAAAGGCAGAAGCGAAGCCCACAACGATAATGATTAGAATGCTCGGATAGAGTGTTATCAAGCGACCGTAGCGATCTGAGATCATTCCTAGAGGAATCGTGACGATTGCCTTGCCAATGTAGACCATAGACTTTGCCAGCCAACCGTAGACAGCATCGTCGCACACCAGGTCAAACTGATACAGAAAAATATAAAAGTAAGGCGTAAGGTGTTACAACGGTTAATCTTGAACAGTCTATATGCCAGTGTAGGTATAGTATTAATAATGACAAAATTTTTGGTTGATAGAAATGCAAGTAACTTCCTACACAGTGAAACACGCAATGCCCCCACATTAGCGACTTTTAAAAGAACTCAATTCCCCAAATTTTTAAGTTAGACTTATTTTAAAAGAACTTAGACTTTTTTAAGAGAACTTTATTCTCTAAACTTTTAACCTAGATTTAATTTACACGTATTTATCTCTCAGATTCATATATTTTGCTATGTTTATTGCATGTACAATGGTCTATGTAAGTCAGGGCCTCTTTTAAGAATTTGTCAGTGGAGGGGCCATCAAGAGAAAGGGGCCCAACTAGGAGGTGGCAGGGACGTCGCTACCGGGAAGGTGAAAAAATGTTTATGACCTCCCCCTCCCACCATTTTTGGGAAACATTTCTTAGGAAAACAAGATGACACCCTATTTTTAAATGTCTGGGGCTTGATTTTCGGCATTTTTAGACCCAATTTTTTTATATATTTTATCCGCTTGACAAAGATTTGGTCATGGGAATACTAAAATACTCTTCTTAACTAAGTTATTCTTCCCTTTTTTCTTATATTGTAGACAGAAGTGTCCTTCACTGGGGGGGGGGGCAAACATAGTTCACTGGAGAGGCCAAAATAGGGGCTGGGAGGAACAAGTCCCCCCCAGTCTATGGTATTAAAAGAGGCCTTGATGCAAGTAGGACCTTTGTGAAAATCACTTTAGTGACAAAGTTTACTCATTAAAGATCATCATCATCATTAACTACCTGAAAAATACAAGGAGAACTTCGACGTTTCAAGCGAAAGCCGGGGGTTTTCAGCTAGGTGCATCCCTATCATCCGAAGTTGTATCACAACGGTTAAGCCTGATCCTTGTCCTATAAATTTTCGTGCTAGGTATAGGAAGGATGTTCTAAATCTCTAACGGTCGATGCCAGTGTACGTAAAGACGATAACACGATGAAAATTATAAACAGAACTCCAGCGTTTCGAGCGAAGGCGAATATATTTTCAGTTTTCAGTTTGTTATATATCTCTTATAGTCTTATCCCGCAGTAGATGTTTTAAATAACGAATCCTATCATGACTACGATTGAGTTTTTGATGTAATATTTCAAACCCGACTATGAGGACTGGACTAGATTTCAAGTCCGCGTAATTTGATCAAGTCCGAGGCGAACCAAGATGCGAGACTGAATCAAGATGCGAGGACTGGGATCTAATCCAGTCCGAATTGGAGGATTTGAAATTACATCTCATACGAATAAATCACTACTTAAATTAAAGTGAGGTGAATTAATTTTGGTCCTAGGACTGGATCAATATACTTCGCCAGGTGTCCAGTATTATCATGTGAGCAAAATAAATCAACATGGTTGGCTAATTTACTCGTGAATTATTAATGAGTCTGAGATAATTACTTACTGACCTCGCTAATAATGGAGTCTTTAGGTCCTTCGTAGTCTGCAAACTCCCACTCGCTTCGGCTGATATTACATCTAAAATTGTAATCATCATCTCCTGCTGCAAAAGTGCCATTCAGTTTACACACTGTACTGTTCTTCGCACACTGCCACGGCGCTTCGGCTCCGATAAAGAACATGTTAAGAAGATGAAACGTCGGGGGGAACATTAGAAAACAGAACATGGCGAGTCTCGAGATTTGAAAACGACCCATCTGGCCGATTTGCGCAAGGATTTCGTCCACTGTCTTACCCATGGCTGCAAAAGTGAGAAAAGATACTTTAGTCTTTACTAAACTCAATTCTGGAAAACGCAGTTCTCGGCTGTTCCCCCTAGTAGAGCTCCAGGCATGGCCACAGAAAACACAATTGTGCAATCAAGCATTTATGTTGACTGTTGATTATAAACTATGAGATTACTCATAATTATCTTAATCATGATATTAGGTCCAGGTCAAACATCGTTGTTTCATGCGACGAACCTAATACATTTCGATTTGACACTGCTGAGCGTGTTTGATCAACCGAGTCAGCTCGACTTGTTGATCACTCCTGCTCACCAGTACCACTTTATACTCAATGGATAACAGCCAGAATTTCTAAATTGAAAAATACACCCAACAAGGATGATCATCTGAACCATCCAATAGGCCTTAATTTGAACCCTAATCTAATCACGACTCTAACCTCTGACCATAATCTAACCTTGCTCTGGCCCTAATCTACCCTGGATCAGGGAGTTTCCTATTTCGCTGAAGCTGTAGCCTGCACTCAGGCGGTGCTGCTGACACCAGAAAACCTCTGAACCCAGGATAGCCCTAATCTAACCCTAACCTTAATCTAAACCTGACGACATTTTTTTAATCTATCCCAACCCTGTTCATCCAGCCTGCCATCTAAGGCCATATTACCTTTATACCCAAAAGTCTTGTCTAAGGCTTCAGGCTTGTGGTTTTGTGCTGGTTTGGATGGTTGAGATGATTCTCTTTGTTGGGTATCGCCGGTATTTCTCAATTTAGAATTCCTGGCTGTTGCCCATTGAGATAATATGACACGGGTGCGACTGCTCTGCAGAACCTATTCTTCTCTGCATTAATTACCCGCAACTAGACGCGATAATTGGGGGGGGAGGGGAGGGGGGCTAGTTACGGCCTTTTCTGCATAAGCAAGGTGGCTGGAACACTGACTAAGTTACATTTTTAAAATCCAGGCATTTGGTTATAGCATAGCTTATCGAAGGGGAGATGGCTGTGAAACTCATTAGAATAACAATATAACTCATTATTTATGTTGGTCAACGTTTATTCATAAATCTGGTCCTTCACCGTCACGTGTGTATTGTATTTTTACCCAACTAACCAATAGCAATGTTTTAGGAAAGTCGCCTATCCGTGACTCGAACAATAGGGAAACTGGAAATTGCTATTGGTGGATTTGGCAGAAATACAATACACACGTGACGGTGAAGGACCATATTTATGAATACACGTTGACTAACAGATAATGAGTTTTATTTTTCACCCTGCTCGGTTTCCTTTGTTCTTATCGCGGCTATCGGGGAATATATTCAATATTCCCCTCTAATCAATTTCCGTTTAATAATCCCTCTAATATTCACCTGCAATGTCTTTGCAGCACAAAAAATGAGAAAAAACAACATAACGAAGGCAATATGGCATTAAGAATTATTTCTATTCTTACTCATTAACCGACCTCGCAATGTGAAAAATAAGTACGTTATTTTGAGGCACCTCGGGGATATGTGTTTATTCACTATGGCTAAGCCAAGGCTAGCATTTCGTTAAAAACTCACTACGTTTCTAAGTATTGTGTTTACTGTTTACACTATAACGGAGTTGTTTGCCGTAGCCTATCTAGCCGGGCTATACCAACTACGCTGTCTACGGTCTACTACGCTTGGCACTCCAGATGCAAATCACTATATATGTTTGTGCTATAGCCTATAGAGTATAGCCGTAAATTTGCCATACTCCCCGTGGGCCGTGGCGTCATTCTAAAATAACAACTATAATATATAAAGTATCCGAAATTCCGAATTGTAGCTACACATATATATCTGTAAATATGGTTTTCAATATAATACCAGTGAATACCATGAATACTCCATAGTTTCCACGACCAAAATTATTTAATTAGAGGTATCATTGAATTCTTTATTGTAATATTGAAGTCTATACACAATGTCAATGCAACGTGATAAACAGTCTTTAAAATTATATATCATTCGAATGTTTTAAATATACGAACAGTTACATATATTGTATGTCTCTTGTATAAGGATGGAATATCTAGCTGAAAGTAGAGTTTTTCGTAGAAAATAGTTTTCCCGAGAAAATTTCATTCCGCTCAAAGCCGCCAAAGTTTACTATATATTCTGTAGTTATTTGCATCAAATTGCATCAAATTAACTGAGACTCTGAGTGATGTTCCGTGTTGTGACAGATTTATTTTACTGAATTACTCGTGGTCTATAATCTCTTCTCTACAGCTATGCTAACTATATAACTCACAACTTACCAAAATGCCTTAAAAAGCAGGTAGCTATACTTGCTGCGGTTTACACGAAGCCGGAAGGTCGAGCAGTTCTCGTGAATTTGTATTCTGAACTGATGAATGAATTTTCTTTGATGATTTGCATTTGTGATTTTATTTGCATATATGTTTCGAACAGTTGGCGCCAGTGTAGAAGATAGTGACGTGATGCATGTGAAGGATGTACAAATATCTGAAACAATATACAAGCCCAGAAGTTTCGCGGGGTCTTCGCTCGAAAGTTCTGCTTATATTGTTCAGGTAGTTTTGCATATCCTTCTCAGGCTCAGCTGCTTGGATATGTTCAGTTAACCGGACAGGACTCATTTCACCGCAGTGCTGTCACTCTAAACATCCTATATTTTTTATACATTTTTTTTTCACCTAAAGTTTAGCGGGCTAAAGCGAATGCTACATTCTCTACATTTCCCATACGCTTCAAACATATATTTCCCCTGCATCCCCCTACAAATATAACAATTCCCCTACATTTCCCCCTTTTCATGCAAATTTTTCTTGGTCGATAATTCCAGAAAAAGTACTGGTCTCAAAACTGGAATACGATAGAGCATCCTCTTGCATCCTCAATGATTCTCAGAATAGGACGCAGAAAATGATACAAAACAAGTGGTTGGGTGTTTTAAATCCGCTTTCAACGTGATAAGTGTATCTAAAAATATGCCAAATATGTAATTTCCGAAATCAAACTGCAATGAATCCCCATAGAAATAATAATCTATTATTTCTATGTGAATCCCCCATGCACGCTTCCCTACCAATTACCTGTCCCCATAGGTATTCCCTACCTCCCCCCCCCTACAAAACGCAATAATCCCCTACCGTGGCAGCATTGTTTCATTTTAAAATTGGCTGTTAAATGGTTCGGCAGTATTCATAAACTCAACTAAGTTGAGGGAGTAATACTGGTGATAAACAGCCAGCCAGGCCTCGGGCTCGGTTTAGATAAAGCAGTCCCAATCTCATTCCCAGGCTCTTCCCTTCCAACACGTTGCCGATGTTGGTCCAATATGGCAATATCATCCAACATTGGTGCGTCTAAATATTACTATGTTTGATAATGTTGACATGGACCGTTGTTCAAAAATTTATATTAGTATAGTAACAAGCAGAAACATACGGAGGTTATCGAAAGAGTAAACCTTTGTCAGTTAAACGTTGCTCCTGGGCAGCAAATGAAGATGTCGTGACCAGCGAATCCGGTACAATGTAAATGGGGTCTCATATGTAACATTTCTGGACCAACAATGCATGTTACACAATGTTGCCGGAACGAGCCTTTTAATTGAAAATTATGTAACCCACTAATAAATTTCAATTTGAAATTATGTAGTTACGGCGTTTGATCCCGAACGATCAGTGCCAGTGACAGCGTAATGTGTAAGAACAGCAGCGGTATGTTAGGAGAAAAATACAAACAGACCTCTTTGGCATTTTGAGTGAAGAAAGCCTTTCGTTGTGATCGAAAGTTAATAGTACTTAGTTGTAGCTTCTTATAGTTATACTGTTATTAGTTACTATATAATTGGTCGTTTGAATTCATTCTTGTACTATGAATTCAAATGTATTAGAGAGTCATCCACGTTGCAGTGACAAACTTTTGAGAAGATCAGAAGGTCATGTAATGTATCAAAACTTATGTCCGAATAAAAAAAACGTTTGCGTAAACAGTCAATGTTTACACTTAAGTGTGTGCTAAATTAAAAATATACGGTATTAAAGACATATTTTATTCAAAACCTACCATTGAGATGTTGCTGAAATGTTTCACTGAATTAGAAATTGTGTTCTTGTGACTGTGCTTCTATAACATCCGGTTATTCTAGCGACAAAATGCCTTTTTTCAGAGTAGGCTTTCTTTCAATATTTTGCTCTGTTTACATTTGGATTAAAATAATTCGAACTGAATGATGTTTGGTGATTTGAATTGCAAACGATGTTTATGTAAACTTGCAATTGCGGGGACGTTCTTTGAATGACAATGTAACTGTCCAATATGGCATTGTTTGGGCGGTTTCAAAAAAGTGCCGTGCCAATGGCTAGCCCTTTTGCAATATCTAAGATGTGTTCCCATAGACATGGTATTGTATATGAACGAAAATAAGCTAAGGTGACGTGTAAATACAGTAGCTTTAAAATTATAAATGCAACAAGAGTCCCTGTCATATCTACTATATCAACTTGAATTTATAGACAAATTTGGCTAACGTTTATACCCAATTCACAACTCTATATTTACCACTGATGAAACTACAGCACCCGTTCAACTCTCCAAACAAATGCTATTATATAAAACCGTAGCGATTTGGCCGGTATACTTTATAGCCATGGTAATAAAGTAATCTAACACTGCATGGTCGTACTCGGCATGATTTATATGTACCTAGTATATTCCATATTAAACTGCTATAGTTCATCAGTATACCACCGACAGCTGAGGTACCGCTCATCAAGATACAGCACACCGCATTTGTATGTAGCCAAATGTTGCAAAACGTGGCTATAAGGTATACCCAAAACAGGCGTACCTTATAGGCACAATTAACCTATATAGGTAAATCACGTAACTATACTACTCTATAGCTATAGTTTGATACACAGTTTACAGAAGCTTAAAATAGAACAAAGGTTTAGATACCTTTTAGAATGATCTATACATTCATGAGTGAATAACTCTTCATAACTTCAATGTTTATTTACCTTTATTTTTTCTGTTCTAGGCATCTGTAAACTGGACATAGTAACTATCCCCATAGCGCCCTGCTATCTCAGTGGCAACTATAGCCATAGGATCGGAATGTGAGTTATACGTACGATCGCTCAAAAATTCACTGTGTTTATCTTGCGCGCATGGAAAGCGTAAAGGATCAAAGGTCAGCTTTATAAACCGGTCAAACATATGTGAATAACCTGTACTATTACTAGGTCTAGCTTGAATAGTGTAGGTATTTAACTGTTACGTCACAGGTAGTCAAACTGCGAATTGAGATAGATACGCCTACCTGAAATTCGACGTTACGAGCGAAAGCCCTTCGTCGCGAGATCCAAGTTTTTTACTGAGAATTAGCTTCGCTCGAAACGTCGAAATTCTGCTCGTATTTTTCAGGTAGTTGTATGACTTCTATCTCTCTCAATCTTCAACAGGTTTTTAAGGTAGTTGCACAAGGAAACGGCTTGTAGAACGTCATGGATCATTCCAATTTCGCAATAAATTAAGTGTTGCATGCAAGGCAGCGGATTGACGGCGGACGTGTTGACACCAGACTAAACACCAGTTGGAGCAACTAGAATTTTGCAGTTGTATTTATTTATCTCACCTATAGTCACCCACCGAATACAACTACATGTAATGAAGAGGACCAGAATGATTTTCTCATGCCGCACGATAGAGCTTAGCAAAACCAATTTATCTACATTATAATAATTGTTTTACTGAACAATAATTACGAAATCCCTCCTAGCTGGCATATTGACTTATGACTTGTGTCAACAAAAGTCTAGGGGCTTGTGTAAAGGTTTATGCCTCAGAACTGCTTAAAATTATCGATCGTCGTTTTCGCGCAGATAATGCGTAAAACCTGCTTAGATGTACATGAAAAGTACAATAGCATGGTGCAGAGAACGCAGTAGTATAAATTATCGTTCTTGTATAATACCTATCCAATTGTTTTATATGCGGTCTGTACAATTTCATGAGTCGTATTTCAGATGATAAATTTCAAAATTAAGAATCAGTCTATATATCACTGATAAAACCTCCCAGTGATTTCCATACTATGAGTAGCATCATTACAGCCGTAGTATACCCACACTATTTCAATACTTCATCGAAATTACTACAAAATACAAGAATAGGATTCCTGATCAAAGACCACAGTTTTGTACTTTTTTGGTTGATAAATCTAATATTAATATCTTCTGCGTGTATTGTTCGAATATATACTAGCTAAGATGAAAACGCGTCTGAATTGCGCAGTTTTGCAAACGGGCGAATTATTACTCGAATACACACACCATCTCAATGTACGTATGTGCTTTATCGTTGCCACACAATTCGCACTTTGAAATAACTCACATGCCTAGTTAATTACCACTGTTTTGACAATTTGTCAAAACAGTGGTAACTAGGCATGTGAGTTATTTCAAAGTGCGAATTGTGTACGTACATTGAGATGGTGTGTGTATTCGAGTAATAATTCGCCCGTTTGCAAAACTGCGCAATTCAGACGCGTTTTCATCTTAGCTAGTATATATTCGAACAATACACGCAGAAGATATTAATATTAGATTTATCAACCAAAAAAGTACAAAACTGTGTAGATCCGTGCCAGAGGGAAAACCTGCGATGTTTGACACAGAAGCAAAGATTCATGCGCACAACAATGTCAATGTCAGAGTCAAAGACAACATCGAGTTCCAACGGATCGATGCAATAATAATTCAATTATTTCTGAAATAATGTACAAACCTGTGCTAGCCCTGGGCTGCTGTGTGCTGCGGACTTTGTTATTCGCCATTATGCAAATTCAACGTATTTTATTGAAAGTTTGGCTAAAAAATTACTGCAGTGAATATCTTGCTTTTCGGCCTCGTATATGGCGTCGCCGTCTCATCACAACACAAGATACTTGACACCATTTTGTCGAGGTTGGAATTGTTTAGTTTTGTGGAAGCACCGCATTACTTTTCTTTCGCAAAGTATCGTTTAAACGGGACAGTCTGGTACCGTTATCAGTGGAATACGAATGTATTACTGAAACCTTTCGATCCGTGGGTCTGAGTCTTTACTAGTACAAATTACCCGGGGCTACGAGTACGGGGTTACTCTCTGATCGAAAACTTTTGCGAAACGTACATATAAGCAAAGTGTTTCCACAAAAAGCTTACCTGCTGATCAATACACGTACAAGAAATACTGGTTTTTAATGACAATAACAGTAAGCGTTTAGCTTCTTAACTCGCACTATCAGCCTCTTTCTCTTCCGCTCTGGAAAGAATTAAGAAGATATCAAGGCTTAGTTTACTCTTCAAAAAAACATTCAAGTAATATATATCATATTACAGTCACATCACACGTCAAAAATGTTATCCGGAAATTGTATTAAGTTGTGCAAAGTTAATCATCCGTGCATATACCGTTTTCATGGAAACTGCAGAAGTTTTTTTCAAATTTGTTCCAGATTTATCACTTTACAAATTCGATCATTTCACATTGTCACCACATGCATTTTTTTCACTACGGGCAACACGAGGTTACCTTGAAAAGTACTTCTTTTATATTGTTTTGTTTTTGCTTATTAATGTTTTCACTGATGAGTGATGTGTTTTGAGAGAGTATCCTTTCGTAACTCTAAACTATTGAAAACAAAATTGGTGTTTTGTGTCTCCGACCAATCAAAAAACATTTCGTTTGTCATCGTCGAAGTTTCGAGTTCTGCATAGTTGCCAACTTTGGGAAAAAGACATCCGTGAGATTTTGCTTTGGGGGGCCCACGAGGCGCCACCACGGTTGAGCGGAAAGAGTTTGAAAATATGGAGTCTCTAGATCGTTGGAAATGGCATTTTCAGAGTCTTCTATACCTTATAACCTTCTATACCGAACAAAGAGACTATGGAACGCATTACCAAAAAGTTTGACAAGCAATAACATTAGTTTAGGACAATTCAAAAACGGACTTTCAAAATATTACAAGTTAGCGTTGGAAGACGTTTTTAACGTTGATGATCCAAGGACATGGAAATCTATATGTTTGTCTTGTAACAAGTCTCGTAATCTGTCCTGTCAAATATCGTGTTGTTATTAGATTTGTGTTCGTTGTATATTGTTGTATAGTATTAAAATAGTTAATGGGGCCGCTGTAATTGGTGAAAACTGTTGCGTGCACCCTGCCAATGAAACACATTTTATTATATGTTGTTGTAAATCAGTGGTGTTATATGTTGCATGTTACTTGGCAAAGTTAAATAAATAAAAAAAAAAATAAAAAAATAATTATACACACAAGTTTTGGTAGCTTTTATTTGGATATACAAAACCATATTGTTGAATACCCACGAGTACGAGGTTGCATGTAGCGATGTTTTGATTACCTATTTTTGGCTTGATAAGTTGAATTTTTTCCACAAGAAAATGTTTTATGTAATTTGATGGAAATGAAGTCACTCTTAATAATAGTTAAAATGTGCAACAAAGCCAACATATTTAAGAACCAGTTGGGTTATTTTCGAAATCCGTGAGAATCCATGAGAATCCGTGAGCTATTACAGTCATTTCATAACAACCTGTGAGCTAGCTCACCGTGAGGTTTTAGTAAAATCCATGATGCTCACGGTGGATCCGTGAGAGTTGGCAACTATGGTTCTAAAATTGCTGAAAAGTAGCCGAATAAAATAATAAATTAAATGCCAAATAAATTGGACAAATCGAACGTTATTAATAAGCTCAGTCTTCTTACCTTTGAACTGGATCATTATTGGTTAGTTTATACTGTTTGTAAGCTTTACAATTGGCTGAATTTCACCATTCTTGATTGGCTAAAAATTCCACCCCGCGGTTATTTTGTTTACATGTTCGGCAAGTTTAGCAAAATTAAGCAAAACATTTGGTGATTCCTCTTTTGTACGAGCCCGCGTTTTCACTGCTGACCATACAAATTAGTTGCCATAGTAACGAAGCCAAAGTCACAGAACTTGGAAATTTATAATAAAGAAAAGTGCTTTAAATATGGGCGAAGATAAAGACGATTTATTGAATTCGGACGAGCTAAGAGATGCCAACGCTTATTTAAGGAGAAAGGATGAACTGTCTAATACCTCATTGTAAGTTTTATAACCATATAATTGCACAAAAGTCGCATTTTTTTGGACTCGAACATGTCGTATATTTGGGTCCAAACTCATTCGATTACCGAAAAATTTGGCGGTAAATTTATACGAGTTTTGGTTTATAAGTGTGTTAAATTTTTGTTTTATAGGTATGACCACTTTAGCAAAGTGCTATCGACGTTGTTAGATAAGCGCCCTGGAAATGCTATTGGTTTGTAAATGCAATGTATATTAATAACCACTGTGTTAATCAGTTATTGTAATGAAAATTATGAAATGACAATATGACAACATATATAAATTGTACATTAAAATAAAATTTTAGGTGTTTTTGAAGATCTTAGCTTAGACTGCAAGGTGGTTGCTGAACCAAGAGAAGAAGGAGAAGCTCAGCCTGCTCCGGTAACAAACAAAACCAAAATGAATAAAAAGAAGAAAATTAACTTCATGTGAATTTACTGTAACCGATTGACTAACTCACTGGCATTGGCTGATCACATTATTAATCCGCACCCCCCTATTGAGGACATCCATTTTTTGGTCCCCCCTCCCCTGGAATTTCCGCATATTTTAAGCGAATTTTTAGCCTCCCCTGTGGAATTTCAGCAGATTTTTATTGAAATTTAGCCATGCCCATGGAATTTCCGCAATTTTTTATGAACTTTTAACCCATCCCATGGAAATTCCTTGACAGTTTTTCATCTAGCCAATGGAAATTCCGTATTGATTCTTTGATTAGCTATCTCTTGGAAAATTCCTTGCTGATTTTTATCCTATCCTTTGGAATTTCTTTTCCATTGTTGACCCTCCCATGGAAATTCCATACGTTTTACTCATTTTTCTTACGTGGGGGTCTATCCTTTGGAATTTCCGCAGATTTGTGTTAAAATTTGGACCCTCCCATGGAAATTCCTTCATTTTTGGTTTACTTTTGCAGGGGCCCATTGGAAATTCCACATGTCCTCAATGGGGGGGGGGGGTGCGGATTAATAATGCGATCAGCCATTATTTCTGGGTGATGTCAATAAATGTCGGTTTTGTAATCTCTTAATAAAACCTTGATTAATACTAATCCTAACCCGCAACGAACGCCTGTGAATTAGTCAATTAAACCCCCTTGATGAGTAAGGTAGTGGAATGCAATGCACCTCAATGTGTTACAGGCAAAATGTGGGAATATCATTGCCATTTAAGCGTCTGGATCGGTACTTTTGTACCATACTTTGCACTACGTACATTGTTCAGTATATATATATGTGGGAAATCATGACGTATAGGATTGACCAGCTTATCATATAACCCTAGGATTGTCAACAAGTTTGTATGAATGACCACTTGAGGTTGTCTGCACTGCAAACTGCCAGTTTATTGAGTAACACTTTGTGTAATTGATTCATTTGTGCAGTATCAGCCACAGTAGATGTAAGGTACTTAATTCCTATTTTTATGATATTATTTGTAGGAAAATGCAAAGGAGACAGATCTCAAGATACTTTCATCAGCCATTCTTACTCAAAAGCTCTTTGAGGTACTTGGTATTACGCTGTTGTTGTGGTGCAAGGCTCAATAATGGCCGACCAGAAAATCAGAGATCAGAAACCACATGACACATTAATACTTTGAGCCCAGTGTTGACCAATGTTTTTTAAGTAGTCAATTCAGCACAATGGTTAACAGCTCTGACAATTCTTTTCCTCTTTTGTCCGCTGCACAGAGAGACACTGATCGAGATGGTGACGTTGACAATGACGAGGAATTAGAGACAGCTTTACCCAACTTGATGGATCTAAACTTCTATTTTGAACAAGCAGCAGTAGGGTTATCTCAGGAAGAAATGTTTAAAGTTTGGCTTTCACTCAAGACACTTGTTGATTCCAAACCACTTCAAACTGTCAGATTTTGGGGTAAAAATAAACTGTACAACTTTTTAAAATTACAAATCTCAATGGACCGATTACCTATAAATGAACAAAATTTTGATCTAGACAAGTCTAGACAAAAATTTCATCACAGCTTGAAAGAGTATCACAAAATTAGTAATATTCCGAAGTTTCGTTGCGAAATGTTGTAAAATGCGGTATATAGTCCTGCGAAGTTTGCCGTTTTTCAGTCATTTTTTATTACGCACGGGAAATTGATACCTTTTTTCAGAAAGCGGTCATCTTTACTTTAACTGATGTTATTTCCCACTAGGTAAAATGTTTGGTTTAGAGAACAATTATTACGTAGCAGAGGTTGATTATCGCGAAGGTGGTCTGGAGGAAGAAGAAGACGAGGAGGTTGGTAATGTCAATTTTATTTTAACAGCTTTTAAGTTTTAACGTATTGTCGTAGTATATTTAACGCATTATTTTCGTTACGAAATACACAACTACGAGAACGTTAGGTCACGCTGAGAATATTTTTTTAGCTAGAGAAGGAAGAAGACGAAGCTAGTAAGGAGAAGGATGATGACAACGATGACGGTTAGTAAAAATTATGCCGGGCGAAACGCTTGTTTTGAAAGCCCTGGAATGTTAAAATGTTTTTATTCGTGGATAGAAATTTTTTCGTAGCTCAGTTGGTAGAGCGTTGGACTAGCAAACCAAAGGTCGCGGGTTCGATTCCCACCGCGGTCAAGCAAACATTTCAGCTTCCCCGGTGTGGACACACTCAGAGAGCATCATCCAAAGTAAAAAAAGAATTTCGAAAAATTCGGCAATATGCCCTGATGGTTTGTGAATATTGTTTAGACGAAGAGAAAGAAGACGAGGACGATGTACCCAGACCAAACTGGTTTCCTCCTCCAGTTATTCCAAAAGAAGAATACAGATCTGGCACGAATAAATATATCTACTATGTCACCACCTCTTGTAAGTAGGAGCTATACTTAATTATTTCTCGCTTGGACGACCTGTTTGCTTTGTTAGTTTTGATTTAATGATTTTATGAAATTCGGCAACAACCAAAAATACAACATGTAGCGCCAGGGAATACTCCAGTTTTCTTGCTATAGACCGATTTACACAACACAGCTTTTGCCTAAAACTGTCGCATGCAACATGCTTACAACTTGAGTTGTACTGTGTAAATCAAGCACACAACTCACCTTCGTTGTCGAATAATCCCCCCCCCCCCTTTTTTTTTCGATGACAGTCAATGCATCCTGGGTGAAGTTACCTCATGTTACACCTGCGGAGATCGTGACTGCGAGACAGATTAAGAAATTTTTAACTGGAAGACTTGATGCTCCGGTAAGAATGTAAATGTATTTACAGTGATTAGTACATATTCCTTGCGTAGTAACACTAGGACATTAAGAAATTGTCTTGACTGAACCGGCTCTAGGGAGAAGAGTTTGGAACCGATACACCCATCCAGTATATAAAAAAGTTAGTTTAGTTTAGATTTCCTCCTACAGTAACAGGCTTGTCTTTACTGGACCTCTAGGACCAGAACACTTTAGAGTTTGATTTTTAGCTTCATATAAGTTCTAAAAAGACATCAACCTCGCAAGCTCCAGCAGTTTGGGAGGGAAGCGGAAATCGAGAGCCTGGTTTGCGAGGTTGAAAAGACATGCGCTCATGTTTTATCATTGATCAAGGCTTTGTAATGATTACTGATTAGTTGTTTGATCTCGTCTAGATCGTGTGTTACCCTCCTTTCCCTGGTAACGAGGCAAACTATCTTCGTGCCCAGATCGCGCGTATCACAGCTGGTACTCACATCAGTCCTGCCGGGTATTACGCATTTGAAGACGAGGAGGAAGAGGAAGAAGAAGAGGGTTGGTAATTTGTGTGGTTGTGGGTGCACCCCTTTGGTGTAGGTTTTTAAACAACACAGCAGATGTGGGTACACACTCCTCTGGTGTAGGGATAGGGCGTATCACAGCAGGGGTAATTGTGTGGGGGGGACACTTCTTTGGTGTAGGGATTGGGTGTATCGCAGCAGGGGGTTGGTGGGACACTCCTCTGGTGTAGGGGTGGAGACATCACAGCAGGTGGGGGTACTCCTTTGGTGTAGGATTGGGGTGTATCACAACAAGAGTGGGGGGCACTCCTCTCGTGTAGGAGTGGGGTGCATCAAAGATGGTACTCTCTTCAGTCCTGCGGGGTATTAGTAAGTTTGGCAAATACAACGGCAACGTCAATGAATCATATGTGATCATCACGTTTGCAAAAAATAAGTACTTTTAAGATGCAAATCAAGTTTTAGTAATATATGCTTTGGCTCGCATACAAAATGTAATGCCGTTGTCGGTTGCCAAATTCTCTGTTACGCAGTTGAAGACCACGAAGTGAAGAGGGTTGGCAACTCGTCAGAATTTTTACATTTGTTATTTCTGTTGTAGTTCGTGAAACGTACGTGATAAATCCAGAATTTGAAGGTGTGAATCCTCGAGAATTGATGGATACGTCAATCAACAGTTGGGTGCACCACTGTATGAATATCCTACCACAGGTATAACAGCGGCTATGTGGCACCGAAGGTACCTCACCAAGGGGCAAGGGGATACGAAGGCGCTTCCCCATGAAGATTTTGAAATTTAGACCGGTCTCGGCTGTAACCTTGACATTGGAACAACACATGCTATAAACAAAAGCCATCTAAAAAAAAAAATGCCTGACAAGGGGAATAAATTGAAAATTTTCATTCCGGTTTGACTTCGTCCCGGTCTCATGTAAACGGGGCCATAGACGGCGAAAATCGCCAGGTGCCGGCTTCTATTGGGAACCGCGCTGAAATTGGATGAGGAATTTACAACTTACAAGTTTGTCTTGCTTTTCCGGACTGGAAAGAGCTGAATGTGTAATTTGTGTTTGCGGATTCCTCCTGTAGTTGCATTGGATCAATAAGAGATGGCTGTTCCTGGACTTCTATATATGGAGAAAGTTTTAGAACTGAAAGATCTCGAGCTATCTAATATGATTCAATTGACTTGTCCTTTCAGGGCCGTTGTATCTGGCACAATCCAGTGACAAAAACTGAAGATGAATTTGATGACGAGGAAGCTGAAGAGGAACAAGATGAGATCGAGGAACCACAGCCTGAATCAGGACCACCATTGTTGGCTTCTGTCAACGAGGACGATGGTTGGTATTACTGTGTTTTATCGGTTCTTTTGACGAAGTCGGGAAAACCGGTAGCAGGCGTGGGGGGAACTTCGACGTTTCGAGCGAAGACCCTTCGTCGGGAATAGAGAGTTTGAGCAAGAGAACGAAGTCGGACGACGACGACGTGGTTGACAATTTGTGCCTGTCTTGCACATTATCTTGCGCATTCTGAGTTTAGGGTCAGGAGTGAAGACAGATTAGAGATTCATGTCTAGCTGTTTGTGAATGCTGACTCAAATCCTTACCCTGATCAGGATAAAACAGCGAGACATGAATCCATATCCCGTCGTCGTTCTTCTGCCTTCGTTCACAACGAATATTTTAGCAAAATTCGTTGTGAACTTCGTTCTTCACGAAGGCAGAAGGACAAAGACGGGATATAGTTTCATGCCTCGCTGTTTTCTTCTGGATCAGGGCAAGAATTATGGTCAGTATTCATAAACAGCGACACACAAGGGAAGCACGTTGAGCAACCACCAGTGACGTCCAACTCAGTATGCGCAAGATAATGTGCAGACGGCAAAAATTGTCAAGTATGCCTTCGTCTTCGTACTTCGTTGCCTTGCTCAAACTCTCTAGTAGCCGACGTTGGGAAGTTAGTAGTTAGTTCCCGGCGAAGGGCCTTTGCTCGAAAACGTCGAAGTTCTCCTTATATTTTTCATGCAGGTCGGTGGCGTAGCCACGGAGGGGACTGGGGAGACGAGTCCCCCCCCCACTCTCCTTCAGAACCACCTTCGAGATATGTTTAAATCCGTTGAGAAACTGGGGGGGGGGACACTGATCCGATTTCATGTCCAGCTTATTATTTGCAATCTAATAACTGAAGACGCAGGAATTCTTGACCGAATTATGATGTTGTAATCTTCTGAAATTTGTAAAATCTCACCCCAAAATGCACAAGTGGCGTTTCAGAGACTCTGAATTTCAAAATTTCCCGGACCCCCTACAGTGTTCGCGCCATTGGCGCTCAACCATTGAACTATAAATAAACTGGAAGGCTAACTCAGGGGGGCGGGGGAATTGAAGCCAGTGCATTTTAGTTTTTCTGAGTTATGAGCAGAAATACTCAACACTGAACGTTGAGCTATATATCAAATTGAAGCTATTGAAAAACCCTATTTCGTGTAGAAATTTCAAGACTTTAGCTAAAAGGGAAATATTGAAAAACGACAAATATAATTGCCGATGATTTGCCATTTTGCAGTTGTTTTTGTATTTTTTAAATATTTTTCTTTTCGCTGAAATCTTGAAATTTCCACACCGAATAGCAATTTTCAATAGCTTCAATTTGATATACAGCCCAACGTTTGGGATCAAGTATTTCTGCTCATAACTCAGAAAAACTATTTTGGCTTCAACAAATCATAGGCCTTCATCATAGCAGTTAGCCTTCCAGTTTATTTATAGTTCAATGCGCTCAACTTCCCCCCCCCCCCCAATAATACTTGTAAACCCTGGCTACGCCACTGATGCAGGTATATAGTTGCATCCAGCCTAGTCCCAGTCGTTCTGAAGCAAACGCGGATACGCGGATGTGGTATGAGACTGGGACCTATGTGTGACGTCACAGCTCAAGCGCTCGGCACAGCACACCCAGGCATAAAACTTATAAAACACTTAAAGCAGCGTTCAGCGCGAGAGCCTGGGACTAGGCTAAGTTGCATCTTCATCAATCCGAAGCTTTCTTATTATTGCCACTACCTACACTGGTACAGACCAGTTCAAGATTACCCCCAGTGAGCTCTACGTATGTCTGGAATAAGAACTCGCGTCCAAGAAGTGAAGCCAAAGATGGTGGAAATAGGGCCAAAAAAAAAATATGTGGGTTTCCGGTTTCCCGACCCTACCTAGCTTTTGGACGTCGAAATCCCGACCCTAAACTTTTTTATTGGATCATGCTTGTAAGTGTTTCCACTTAGAGGAAAAAGTTTGTGGAAAATTGAAATTTGAGGCAATATTAGGGAAATTTATTTTTGAATGTGGAAGCACTGACTAAACAAAATGGCGTCCGCTTGTTCGGAAAATTAAAAAAAAAGTTAAAAAAAAAAAGTTAAAACCGACCTACCCTACCTAAGTTTTTATAAGAAGAAACCGGAAACCCACATATTTTTTTTTTGGCCTAGACAATTTCCATTATAGACTAAGTTTTTATCTTGGCAAAAAAAAAGTATATTCCCAGAAAGAACATACTAAAATTAGTAAAATTGCAAAGTTTGGTTGCGAAATGTTGTAAAATGCGGAAAATATAGCCTTGCAAAGTTGACAAATTTGTATACTTTTGTATTGCGTGCGGAAACTGCACATTTCACCACATTTGGGCCGAAAATGGTAGCAATTTCCGCACGCAATACAAAAGTATACAAAATTTGCAAACTTTTCAAAGCTATATTTTCCGCATTATTTACAACATTTCGCAACCAAACTTTGCAATTTTACTCATTTTAGTATGCTTTTTCTAGCTGTGGTGATTTATTTGCATCTCTTTGCCTAGTTTTAAAATTAGTCAAAAATGGGAATTGTCTACTAACAGTCAGTCCCTTCCTATATTGTTTTTGTATACGTGGTGCAATCAACAAAATTTTCATGTCTTTGTGTCGTTCTTTAGATGTGAATAATCTACCCGCCTGGTCTCCTTATCTTTCATCAAATTTTCTACCTCAATACGCTGTCGCTGTTATGAGATCAAATCGCTGGCCAGGAGCTTATGCTTTTGCTCATGATACGTAAGTACCATTGATGTCGTACCACGGCTTGATTATTTTCTTGTTTACTACTAGTGCGAAGCAGCACACTATTTGTGAAACTGCTTGTTGATTCTTGCATGCACAGTTGACTTGCATGAGTCCGTTTGTCTGTGGGATGTGAATATAGACGGAAATTTTAATTTACCGTGTGCGCATGTTATTTCCATTTCGGTCGCGTTACACACGTAAAAACAAGTCTGCAAACAAGTTGTTACAAGTCTGTTCACAAGCTGTCGACAAGTTGTGTTCGCACTGCTTGTTCCAAGTTTGTTGTAACAAGTTTGAAACAAGCTGTTAACAACTTGTAACAAGTTTGAGGGCATTATCAGCCTTGTTACAAGACTGTGGTAACAAGTTTGTTACAGCCGTGATATAACAAGGATGTTACAAGGTTGTCAACACAAGGTTGCAACAATCTTGTTATATCAAGCATGTAACGGACTTGTCAGAACAACCTTGCAACAAGTCTGATAATTTCGACAAGGTTGTTACAAGTTGTTCCAAGCCTGTTGACAACTTGTGACAAGCAGTGCTAATACATCTTGTTGACGGTTTGTTGGCAGACTTGTTACAAGATGTGAGATTTTTACGTGTGTATCAGATCATCTATCTATACATTATATATATCCACAACAAAGTTTTCAAAAGGCTTTAAAGTGTTAAAATTCAGGAATTTTTCTCACAGGAAATTTGAGAACATTTACGTTGGCTGGGGTCAAAAGTATCTTCCACATGGCTACACACCTCCCAACTTGCCCCCGGTAATGGAAGAATTCCCAGGGGGTGCGGACATTACAGAGATAGATGACCCCACCGTGGAGGAAGAGCAAGAAGCGAAGGCCAGGCAGGAGGTGGATGTGGAGCCTGGGGATGACGGTGATGACGTCGACGATGAAGATGACGATGATTAATGCGCATGTCTGATCTGAATATACATACTTGACTGATATAAGATTTGTAAATAGATGTTTATAGGGTATATATAGTATACTGTCTGTGTACACATACATAAGGATTTGGGGAATACACTTTTTATGCGTGTATTTTCGGCTGTACACACATCTAACTTAAATATGGAGTCGTGTTTTCGAAGTCACATTGCGGATTGGCGTATTTCGACGTAGCGGGGTTTTTGATGCATAAGGTTTTTTATCGAGTATTTTCTGACACAAGAGCCATGACACTAAAAAACACCCACAGGGTGATCCTTGGGGCGAGCATCACCGAAAACCATTATGAAAGAAATGGGATAAAAATGTTGCTGGGATAAACCTTTGACAACATGGCTCCATGCCAGAAATTGCGCTATTAGGTGAAGGAGCACACTATTCTTGACACTGCTTACGTTTTTCTAGAGTTCGATCCCAGTCTTGTGCGACTTATATTAACATCTTAAGTTCAAGGCGTGTGTTATGTTTCCATCCTGCTATTCTATCTGGTTATAGACAGAAATGTATTGTTTCAAAAACGTTAGATGTAAAATAAAAATACATTTGTTTATCAGTTCATCAGATGAACAACACAAAATAGGCCAAAACTATGAGCCCAAAGTGTGCCGTTTGATGCAGCATTTTCTTTGTGATGATAAGTCCAAGTTACAAATATTTTTCTTTCATTATACGTGCCTCCTGCCTGGATATTTTGTCTAAAGTGATTTCTTTCATGATTTCATGGCATGGCAAGATTTTAATTGGATAGTAATGGACTCGACGTTTTATTACACTCATGCTTTGAAAATTTTATTTTTCTTGATAAAATGACCAAAATTGCGGCCGTTTATGGTTTTAAATTTGAGACAGAACACTGATTGATAGTCAAAAAGTATAATCCTCCCCGGCGGGGAATCGAACCCCAGTCTTGCGCGTGACAGGCGGGGATACTCACACTTGACTATGCTACTGAGGATCGGTATAAGCACAGTTAATAAGAAATCGTTGAGAACAGGCCGGGGATAAAACTGAGGGGACCTATGGTTGCTGACGATCTGGTGTCACTCCGCCTCCGCAGAGTCGTATAGGATTGTAGGGATAGTAGAGGGCATTTAGTGGTGTGCGACGGGGGGTGAGACCGATGGTTGACAAAATGAAACGAAGACTAACAATTACGTAATTTGTTTCCCAAGTAATATTACGTAATTTTACTTAAAATTCGTAAGGCTCTGCGGAGGAGAGTGGTCTTGTGTTTTTATATGATCTGTAATAGCAATGGAACTGGACTTCATTGCTATTACAGATCATATAAAAACACAAGACCGTCTTTTTTTGCTCATAAAAATAACTTTATGCAAGGAGAACAAGAAAGCGCAGCCTCATCACAATCTCGTACCAGCGCCATCGTTGAGTTGCTCTTGGCTCTAAGTAAAATAAGCCCTTCACGCTTCACGCAAAAAGTATAGGGGGCCCTCTAGAGTTGCTCTACATTCTGTGACTCAGGTTTGAAAAACGATTCTGATTGGTCGATCCGAATCTCATGATTGATTGGCAAAAGGACTGGGGTTAATTTAGAAAATCTGACGTCATTAGAATAAATTTAGCTTATGGCACTATGACGTATATATTGTTGTAGCCTGCGAGCAGGCTCTCTGGGGAAAGAGAGCCTGCAAGGATCCCTTTGATGATTCGGTGCATGCGTCCAATATTTGGACGCAGTGCTCTGATTGGTTGATAACTGATTCATATGAAGTGATTGACAAGCTTCCATAAACTTGC